GGAGGTCTTAAATTTCATGTGGGATCTTAAATTTCATGTCCAACTCGTCTTTTTTATTCGTTTTTTTCAACCGCTATTTGACCAGCGCAACATTTGGGGGCAGCACTTCGTGGGTGCAACCTGCATCATTCCATAGGTGACATACAAGTGATTGATGAATGCGTTGCGTTGATACTTCGCCACCACAGCATTTTGCGAATCGCAAGCATGGGCAAATGTTTGTTTGATGACAATTGGTTGGAGGACGAAAAGTATCGGGGGTGGCTAAAGAAAACAGCCAGTAATCATGAAGGGAGGTGTGCTTTATGTAAAAAGACGATAAAACTGGGGACAATGGGCCGCAAATCGCTCGATTCACACATGAAAGCAGAGAAGCACAAAAAGTATGTGTAGTCACAGGCAAGTAGTTTGCCCATAAGTGTGTTCTCATCGAGCACTTCGACCTCAGCCTTCCACAAGGCCGTCCACTTCTAGCAATGCCTTCAGCAGCTTTGCGAATATAGTTACATTTAAGGCCGAAATACTGTGGGTATTTCAAACCGTAAGCCGCCACCACTCGTACACCTCAAATGAGGACGTCCACTTAGTTTTTCAAGCAATGTTCCCTGACTCAGAGTGTGCGAGTACGTTCACATGTGGAAGAGACAAAACTGTATATTTAGCACGATTTGGTGTTGCCCCATACCTAAAGAAGAAACTAATTTCACAAGCAAACAAGGATGCTTTCATCATAATGTTCGATGAATCCATGAACGCAGCAACGAAGACTTATACTTGCACTTTAGACGTTGAGCAACTGACGAGATCGGTACCCTGTTGTCAGGGTTGTAAGGTCAATCAGCACTCGGCATAAAAGTTTTTGCGTCCCTTTGACCTGTCTTGATCGTGCAGGGGCAGACTGGGACTAAAAGTCACCCCTGGCACTGTAGCCACACCAGCCCACATTACCACACCGACACAGCCCCACCCAAGGACACGCACATTCACTACTTATATTGGTGTACAGATGGTAAAATGATTTAAGCAGTACCATATTTAAGAGATATTTAAACATTTAATGTATGTGACTGGAACAAAAGCAACCCATTTATATATGCAATCATGTCATTCATTTTCTTTTCGGCTTAGTGCCTTTATTAATCTGGGAACCGTCAGCTTATCCAGCATATGTTTTACACAGCGGATGCCCTTAAAGCTGCAACCCAATATACTGTCTTACCCAATTCACAATTTGCCTACCCAATTCACCTATAGCATGTGTTTGGACTTGTGAAGGAAACCAGAAGGAAATCCACGCGAAAATGCAAACTCCACACAGAAACACCAACTGACCCAGATGAGGCTCAAACCAGCGACTTTCTTGCTCTGAGGCGACAGCACTACCTACTGCGCCATCACACTGACCCCTTTCGAGACTAGTTCAGTAAATTTTATGTATTTGGCAATGTCTGACTTGACCGCCTTTCCCTTTTTTTTTTTGCACTTACTGTTTGTTTAACATTCTTGCCAGATTTTGATTACATCTGAGTAGCCTCAGATTGGGTCGGCCCATCTCAAAACCAGCCGGTTGTTGCCAATTGGGCCAGTGCCTAACATTTACTATTATTCTTACTATTACCACCATCATCATCATAATATTCACATCTCAAACAAAATAAAAGATGCCTACATTTAAAAAACAATACATATGAAAAAATAAATAAATAAAATAGGTGCCCACATTTAAAAAATGGTCCAGCCCTTCTGGCATTTGCCAGAATTGCCAGATGGCCAGTCCGCCCCTGTGAGCGTGGCTCTAGTGAGTTGTGCCACGCTAATGCTTCACCACATCATTCTGTGTTGACACACTGAACATTTTCCTGTTTTTTTTTTTGTTTAGGTAAAGTCTTAAATTTTCATTTTAGAGGACTTAAAAAGGTCTTAAATTTCTTGTTAAAAAATGTGCAGATACCCTGTTACAAGCCTACAAGTTTCATCCATCATGATGTAAGAAACTGCACCATAAGCCAATTCTAAAGCATCAGAAAAGTGGTGGAGCTAAATCGGTGACAAGCAACTGGTGGATATTGATCTAAGACATCTTGGAATTGTCAGAGCCGAGAGCAAAGGCAAGTCATTTAACCATCTGCGCCACTGTGTTATTACATCTGCTGGTATTTCCTCATTCCAATCAACTTTTCTCCGGCACAGCTCTTGAAAGATCCCCTTTGCTTTGAGCACAAATGAGCTAGCGAATCCTAAAGGGTGCTCAAAATTCCTCTCTTTGTTGCAGGCTTATTAACTGTCATAACTTCGAATGTAAAACAGTCTCTTTCTACATCCTAAAGGACACCTAGTGTTCGTTCATATGGTAAGTCATCCTGATCGAGATTGACTTCATGCAATGAGTTGGCCCAAAGTTCAGCTGGAATTGTTTTCATGACTTCCTTGGAATTGCTTAACCACTTAGTTAGCCTAAAGCCTCCACAGCTGAGGAGCTCACGGAGTTCAGAAGCAAGTTTAATGGCATCATTCACAGTTGATACTGACTTGAGACAGTCATCGACATAGAAATTTCGTTTCACAGTTTCCAAGGCATTATCAGAAAAACTTTCACTATTGTCTTCCACAACTTTCTGCATAGCAAAATTGGCACCTCCGAAAAGTTGAGCGGTCATTCAATAGTGTTCAGGTGGTTTGTCAGGATCATTATCCTCCCACCACAGAAAACGAAGCACATCTCTTTCTTGAGGTGGCACCTTGACTTGGTAATACATGCTTTCAATATCAGCATTTAAAGCAATGGGATCTTGTCTAAACTTTAGAAGAATACCAATCAGCTTTTTAGTAAGATCTGGGCCATGATGAATGCAGTCATTTAATGAAGCACCTTGGTATCGTGCAGCACAGTCAAAGACAATCCTAATCTTACCTGGCTTTCGTGGATGTAGCACTGGATGATGTGGAAGGTACCACACACACCCATCATCTCTGTTGATATCAACAACCTCCTCTCCAAACTCTTCAATTCTTCTGCAAAATGAAACTCTGCGTTCAAAACAATGTGATTTCTTCTCAAAATGGTCTTTTGTTTACAAATGACACACACAAGCCATCACACAATAGACATTCATAAGATCAGTTGAACACTGATGTGCTAAATGTAAAACACTCTGCCAATTCTTCTCCATTCATCATTATGACTTTCTGTAAGCCTTTTTTTGTTCAGTGTTACACTTTACTACAGACAGTAGGCCTACAGAAGTGCATTGTAAAATATTTCAGAGTATTGTTTTTATACAAACAAACAAATACCAAATATATTTTACTGTATTTACCCCACAAATACAGTGTACACAGTGTTCATCCCAACCAACACAAAGTTGCAGATATCGTGGTCTACATATGCCATCAACAGAAGTATTTACTGAATACAATCACAGTAAAAAAAAAATAAAAAAACAGCTATACTGCATCCTCTTTTCTGTTTTGGTCTGGCCAAGCAGTGGGGGAAATGTCACTTTGCATGGCGAATCCAGCCACGAAAAGCATCAGTAGTAATAGCTTGGAGAAGGGGTATACATGTGTGTGGATTTATGTAATACACTTTACATCTCCAGGCAGAAAAAAAAATCCTCAATAGGTTTGAGGAATGGAGAATATGGAGGGGGAGATAAACATCCAAAAAACATAGTTGGGCAGTAAACCAGTTGTGAACCAGATGAGCTCTGATTTCTAAAATGCAATTCTGTGAAAGGTGTTTACTCATGTGATGAGTTGGTATGCAAAGTAGGACAACTGACTTGTGTGAATGACAGCGTGTTCCTTGTGAAAACAGAAGATTTTCTGCATGAAAATTGCAAAATGCAGAGAATTGTGTGTATTGTTTTGAAAAAAATGTGTTGTAAACCTGCAATTTGAGTGTAAAGCAGGAATTGTGCTTGTAGTTTAGCAGAATTGGTTCAAGGTGTTGGTGCATCAGTTACATGTTGTAGAAATTGTGTTTGTAGTACAAGTAATTGTGTGTAAACATCTAAGAAAAACTGTAACGCGTTAACGCATGCGATTAATTTGAAATAATTAGCGCGTTAAAAAAATTAATGCAATTAACGCAGTTGAAGTTTTTTTTATATAAAGCATATATACATATATCTATGACCAGGAGTTTTCCCAGTGGTCAGTATGCAAAGATATTTTTTTCAATTACAAAAATTACAATTTTACATCACTTTTCTACATCGATGGATAAGTTACAGCACAGGCATTTACAACAACGAGCGTGAGTTAGTGTGCATGTAAATGTATTTTCCTTCCTACCTGTTAAATTGGATCTAATCTATGTTCTGAAATGTTCTACCTTAATGCTTTGTTTCCTTTGTTTGCTCATTATTACACCCGTAAGCAGCGCTAAAGTCCAGCATCTAGTGCGGTTGAATGACATTTGTTCTGGGAGCACTGTACAAATATGACGGCGCTATTGACGCATGTTCAGGGTCCACATGCGATATCTAGTGTATATATCTGTCAACTTTCAAGTTGATCCAACAAATGTCTTTGTTTGCTTGATTTCTGGCCAGTAGTATTTGAATTTTGTCAAGTAATTAATTAACACTATGTATGCAGCAAAAATGAAAAATAATATTGAATTGTATAGACCTTTTACAACGGTTAAATCCCATGAACTAATTTGATTAGATTTTACATCGTACATTGACATAGTCAATGCTCGATGAGATATTTTTAAAGTATTTTTGTTAATCAAACCAGCATAACCAAAACAACTTCTGAAATTTTATTTGTAATAACTAAATCTTAATAGAACTGTATTATGAAAGCAGTATTTTAAGAATTGAATGTGCCATGTTTTTACATCAGCATGTATTTGAATTTTTGTGTCCTTTTTGTCAACATCCTTGCTGATATTCAGTACAGTAGTACTATTGCTATTATTATAATTTTTTTTTTTACTGAACTATTAATTTTAATTAAACTTTAACTTAGAAGATACTGTGTAATAACAGGTTTCCGGCTGGAGTTTTAATTTTGGGTCTGCAGAATCTTGGAGGCGAGACCATGCGTGATAAGAGGCGAAGAGAAAGAAGAGAGTTGCATGAGCTGAGAGTCACTGAATGGTTTGTTCCACCAGAATATTTTTTTATGTAATTGTATGATATTAATAATATTATTGAACACACAACTGAGATGACGTCTTTATTACAGGAATGCTCGTCTAAAGGTTACAGATGATCTCATTGGAGAAATGAGCAGTCTAAAACATCAGGACTCTGAAATTGACCTTCAACAAGTAGAGGAGCTCCTCAGTCAACCTAGGAATGGGAATGCAGCAAAAGGCCCTTATAATCAGTAATATTGGAGACTCGGAGAACGTTAAAGTACACATTTTGTTTAGATTATTGTGCATGTGGAAATGTGTTCCAGATATTTAAATCTGAAAAATCAGCATATTAAATAAAAACTTTTTGCTAAATATTGGATGTTGTACATGTTCCTGTATATATTAATATCTATATCAATATGCAAGTGTCTCAAGTCTCATGCATTGACACGCTTCTAGTTCATCCAGTTCACACAATCACACGTCTTGTATTTCTCGTAGTGAGATGTAGGTAATTGAAAACTTAATGCTGATATGCAATAAATGGACAAGACGCAAATGTCTGGAAGGAGCTGGAGTTGTGGATCTGATGCTAGAATTTAACATTTCTGTTCCTGGGTAAATTGTGTAACCCTTCCACGAAGAGGTTTGCTACTAAATTTTTTGTAACAAAAGCACAGATTGTAAGGAGAGAGTTGTTTACCTCAATTTAATTCATGCCTGGATTGTCTTTAAATGAAATAGTATGAGGTACACATTCACTTTAGGCTTCAACTTAAAGATGCAAAATTTTAAAAGTGCTATTGATCATAGTGTCTTTAAACAGTGTGCCAAGCAGCAGTGTTGGGTATGATTAGATGCTTTTTTTCTGACAAAACATGCTTAATCTACCATTTGCAGGGGCCAGGCACTGTAAAGCACTAGGATTAGTAATTCAATTTTTAAATTCACCATTATTTCTACGGCACAGTGGAGATTGTCAAAGCAGTTTAACATGGGGGCAAAAAAGACAATAAAAAGCCTTTAATATTTCAAATTGTGGAACATTCCAGCAAGTTACTCTTCTGCTTGACATTCCCAAAATGTTTTTAGAACGTCCCTGTCGATATTGAAGATGTTGTCTAGTAAAGTTCTCAGAACGTTCTGATGTTGTCACAATGTGGAGGTCTTCAAAGGTGTGGAAGGCGTTATTTGAGGGACTTTCACAGAACATTCACAACATTCTCAGAACCTTTAGGGTACCGTGCATTATTGGAAAATGTGGCGTTCTCATAACTTCCCAATTGGTGTTAAAGGTTATTGTCTAGTAACGTTCCCAGAATGTTCTGAGAAGGTCAAAGTTTGGAGTTTTTTACAACGGTGGGAACGTTATTTGGGGAACCTTCACAGAACAGGATGTTCTTAGGACATTAAGGGGATTACTAGGATACCTCTAGGCCTCCACACTACATTCCCAAAACGTTTTCAAAATCTAGAAACCAACCTAGAATGTTATTTTCTTGTCCTGAATGTTAGTGACAAAGAGAGCTCAATAAATTAAATTAAAAGAAAAAATAAATTGTTTAAAATTTTATTAAAGGAAAAACAAAGCATTTGTCAAAATATTCTAATATCACAATTGTTCTCTTTGTAACGTTATGTGACCATAGAATAAACAAAACATTCTCCTAAAGTCATATTGGGAACATTACTACTGTATATGACTAAAAGAAGACCATGTGGGAATGTTCTGTAAATGTCACAAATGTTCTCTTTGTAATGTTATTAGGTGACCATAGAGTAACCTATATAGAAAGCCACATCCCCTAACCTGATTTCAACAAGAAAGACATGTTGCTGGATCAAGGATCCACCAAGGAGGACATGTTCCTGGGTCCTGGATGTTAATTCAGGATCGTGTTGTATTTAGTAAAATCATGATGTGCATAGAGCGCGCCCCCCTAAAGTCATACTGGGAACGTTGTTATATGAATAAAAGAACATTTTAAGAACTTCCCTAATGTTCTGTAAAGGTTTGGGAGCTTAAGAGAAATTTTATGGAACGTTGTGCAAAGTTACACTTCTTGTCACATTAAGGCTAATCCACTGGAAATCAGCTCCACCAGCCCCAATCAAGCAAGGCAGAGGCAACAGGGATAAGGAACCAAAACCGCCAGTTTATGGAAGTGAAGAATGATGTAGATTTTTCTTGATGACCCTGACAAAAGTATCTCTTTTAGTGTCTGTAATACTAAACTATAAGTATACACGTTCACAATTAATTTTTTTGTCATCAACCACTCATACAATCTGCCCCAAAGGGATTTGACAATGGAACAATTAAAAAAAACATGTTCCTGGGATTCAATATCTTTCAAGCAAAAAATACAAGCATTGCTGTCTAAATTAAATCTTATTCTAATAAATTCGTTACATAGATATATGTCATTAATTGTTTTGAAATGTACTTCTTTCATTTTAGGTAACAAGGGAAATGACAGGTATCTTTTTCTAACTTCAAGTGTCCGCTTTATAAAATCTCTCAGATAAAACTATTCTTTTAACACTAAGAGGAAAATATTCTTTTGTCAGTAGTGATCTTAAGACCTTGTTGTTACATTTAATATCCAAGAATGACTAATTATTTATTAACAAATCAACTAGTGCAGGTGTTATAGAAGAGTATTGCACTATACTTTTGGAAAATGTTGTACAAGCACAATTTTACTCCAAATAATGTTATCATTTGGAATAACAGGTGTATTTTACATAAGAGGAAATCATTATTTCTTAATGACTGGTTTGACAAAGGAGTTTGGAATTCATTTAATAGATGATGATGGTAATATGTTGAGTTATGATCATCTTAAGTTAAAATTCAATTTTAATTGTGCATATAGAGAATTCTCTTTGGTTGTCAAAGCTATTCCTGTAGATTTTATAAGAGATTATGTTAAGGCAGATTTTGAATTTACAAACCAGAATGTTATCTTTGGTTTGCATGAATGTGAAAATAAAAATAATACTTATTTCATAAACCTTGTTTTTTTGTTGGTCAAATTTTATATTCACACGAGCAAGTTTTGTAAGTGTAAACCTTTTTTCCCTGTATTTAAAACTGAAATAAAAATTTATTTTGATTTTATTGAGGGATCAACAAACTTAAAAGCAATATGAACAAGGAGTTTAATGAAGGACTTGGCACTTATGTTGACCTAAGTGAAAACCCCTGGATTGTTGTTGTTTGATTGATGACATTTGTTGTTAATGTTTTTTCAAGCATTCAATAAAAAAAAAGGGGAAAGCAATGTCAGGAGTGTGCAATACTGCCCTCAGATGTTGCATATGCTGCTGCCAATCATTACTTGAAATAAATATGTAATTCAAATAAGCAGCGCCATATGCCGAGTGAGGGGTGAGTATTTTATATATCAGGTGTTGGAAACTGGCAGTTTTACTGTATGGATATCTTTAAATATTATGAATTAAAGATATCTCTAAATGGATTGTGACTAGTAAAAACTCAGTTAGAGTTATCTTGAATTATAATTTGCACTTGTAGCAACTCAGATATTTCTAATTTAATTGTCACTAGTACAATTGCAATTAGAGATGTCTCTAACTACAATTCTGGCTAGTCAAAATCATTTTGAGATATCTCTGATTACAGTGTCTACTAGTCAAAACTCATTTTTAGATATCTGCTATTATTTTTCAATGGAACTCAATGAAACAATATGTCTAGTCATTTGCAGAAATCTCTAATTGTATATTACGACTTGTCTAATTAACATTGCAGATATCTTCAATGGATAAGACTAGTCGCAATCACACTGCAGATATCTTAATTGCAATATAGATATCTGGAATTGGAATTATGACTAGTCAAAACTGAATCATGCCTAGTACGGCAAGAGGTATTTAATGCTAAACGGCTTGCCATATAGTCAAAACTGAATTACGGCAAGAGGTATTTAATGCTATAATAGCTTGCCATATTGGCCTTGCCCATCGGCATCGATCTGGGTAGCTCCCAGAGACCTGCGTCAGGAACGAGGGCGGAGCACATAACAGGGACATATACAGACAGGCGTATATCTGTGGCTGCTATGGTCGTTCCCTGATTCAATGAATGATACAATGGCTGCATCGTCGAACAGGATCATGCTAGGCCCACTCGTAGCTGCTATTGACCAAGGCACGAGTTCTACACGTTTTCTGGTAAGTCGCGTTTAAGTACGTCATTCGGTTGTTGTAGAGGTTGTTCGAGTGTCATACAGAGATTGAATGTGGAGTCCTCATTGTCCTTGTAATCTTGTGCAACAGGTCTTCTGACGATCTGTGCTAAGGTTGTCGTTAGCTTAATCTTTCATGTTTTATCCTAAATGTCATGGTAGAGCATTTTGTTAGCTTCAAATGTCTTTCGGAATTAACTGCCATTCATTCATTCATTCATTCATTCATTAATTCATTCATTCATTTTCTTTTCGGCTTAGTCTCTTTTGTTAATCAGGGGAACACCACAGCGTAATGAGCCGCCAACTTATCCAGCATATGTTTTATGCAGAGAATGCCCTTTCAGCTGCAACTCAAACAGCCAAATAAGTTACTCCTGCATTCACACACACACGACGGCCAATTTAGCATTCAACTACATAGCATGTCTTTGGACTATGGGGGAAACCGTAGCACCCACGCCAACACGGGGAGAACATGCAAACTCCACAAAAAAATGCCAACTGACCCAGCTGGGGCTCAAACTAGCAGATTTCTTGCTGTGAGGCTATGCTACCCACTGCGTCACAGTATCTGAACTACCACTCTAAAACTAATTTTTAATAGTTTGTTTTGATAGATGTTTGAAACTGACAGTTTAAGGGGCCTTAAAACCTTTTGTTTCAAAAACTGCGTATTGTTAAATAAGAAAGCCGCCAACTCTACTGGTGAATAAAATAAGATTTACTTTTAAACGAACAGATCCATTTTGGTACGCATATGTAACATTTTACTTATGGTTTGTGATATTTATGTTTTATTTCTTTTGATTTATTTTTCATTTTGTTTTCTTTAAATATTTGTTTTTCTTTAATGCATCGACTTTTTTCTTTATTCTTTGTAACATGTGTTTAACTGGCTGTACACTAATAGTGTCATTTGTATTCCAGTCACACTATATTAGTACAAATTAATGTTTTATGCATGGCCCGTTACTTATGTTAATGATAAAAATATACTTATAAATAAATAAAGTGTTCCAGAAAACCACAATGCATTTTTGTTGACGTGAAAAAAAGACATGGAAAAAAAGAAGTTTAATGCACTTTATGTCGCTAGGCAAGGACTGAATCAACTGGGTATAGGTTTTTTTTTTTCAATGACGTGATTCTGGTGACGCGCCAATAGAAGAGTATGCAAGGGTAAAGTCTAGATTGGATACGTGGCTGGTTGGAAGTGCCATATGCACATCAATATAGCAGCATTTTTTATTACACTTTTTGTAACTATAATGAATATTTTTACAGTCATGTAACAGTTGGGTTTAGGGTTGTTGTGGGAGTAGACGTTAAAAATACAATTTATTGGGTAAAGTAATAGTCCAGTAAAGTAATAGTAATAATATCCACCGATATACATTTTTACTGTATTTTCTGGAAAAAAAGCAGCGAGTCAGCCGGCCCAATATATGAGTGGGGCAGAGCAGGATTCCCAATGACCACCTTCACAATACCGTTTCTTGTTATGAGCTGCAGTTTCAGTTTAAATGGAAACAGTTAGATTTTACATTTTAGCGGCCATTTGCGCTGGACAACCAGTGAATATAACGCATCTAGATTTGGGCCATTAAACAGCTGAGCCACCCCCAGTCCCCCAAAAACATTCGATTGATTTTGGCTGGTAAATCAACATTCACCACATGATCGTTTTCATCAGCTCCATTATTTTTTACTTTAGATGGGTTTGCAAATCGGTGTACTTTTCATTGCGTCTTCCTCAAACTTCAGCCATTTGCATTTCCAGCGGTCACAAAAGCTCCCGGTCATCTTAACTAGGTGCACCTGGAAAGTGCAAGCATGTTGCGTTGTATGCATATCCCTCCAATGGAAATAACGAACTTGCCTTATAGACTCACTCATAGTCTTGGTGTACAAGCTCAACTTTAAACTAGTGCAGACTTGGCATAACTTTTGTTTAGTTGCTGCAGTTTTGTTCCATGCAGAAATGTGGTGTCGAGAAGCCTTTATAATTAATGAACCATGAAGAATTAAAATGCGGTTAGTAGGGATGTAACGATTTATCGTTGTACGATTTATTGCGATGCAAAAATGTCTCGATATGCATTGTGGCGTTATGACGATCTGATTACGATATGACGTCAGTTTTCTCTTATTAGTTGAGCTGTCTGCACGTGAGCTACGTTCCACCTGCTGTCGCACGTGAGTTCAGATTGCAGCAGCAGTAATGTTAGCAGACCAAGATGAGTGGAGTTGAAATAGAGGATGGCCCATCCTCTCAAAATCAGACGTCTGGCAACATTTCGGTTGTACAGTCATTGCTTAAGACTCGTCCGCTTTTTGACACACATACTGGGTCAAACATCCTAAGTTTTAAAGTCTTCAAAGTGATTTACATACTTTGCACAGCGACATGGATACCTCCTAATGGTGTTGAAAGAGTCACATACTGTATTTATAAGGTACAATTCACCCTAAAATACCATTCTGTCCTCATATAATGATGTATTGGCGGCCGCAAAATCACACATGACGTGAGCTGTTACTACAGAGGGCGGACTATGATAAACGCGCGGGTATGGCAAGCCGTTTTAGCATTTAAACCTTTGATCTGACTATCCATAAATTAGGGCTGCACGATATATTGTTTCAGCATCGAAATCGCGATGTGCGCATCCGCGATAGTCACATCGCAGGAGGGTGCGATGCAAAAAAAAAAATAAATAAAATAAATTATATATATATATTATGGGTGGAGCCGAACCGGAATACGGTATTCGGAAAAGCAGGAATAGTGTTTTTACGAATACTTACGTCAAACAATACTTGATAAATTATTTGTATTTGGGAACAAGAAAAACATTATATCAAAAAGCTGCGTTTCCTCATGAGACCGCACTGCATGCCCGCGTGAGTGAGTTAGTGAGTGAGACGTTCAGGAGTCGGTGGGCGGGGTGGGGCCGGGGTAAGGAGACTGAGCAGGCTGCTTCTCTATACAGCAACAGAGAAGGCTTGGCAGAGCGAAAAATACTTTTCTTCATTACTATTTTTGTTTATTTTATCATACTAAAATAACACGTGACAGAAGTTCACTCAAAAGTGAAAGTTCTTTCTGTTTTTACTAATTACTAACACTCCCGTCATTCCTACTACTTTCAGAGCATAAATTTTGATATTTTACCATATGAAAATGCAATGCAGTTATGAAAATTGAGAAATTAAAGCAATACAGAGATCTGGTCCCCGCGTCAGGTCAGGGTGCACCTGTAACCTTAAAAACGCAGACGCGGCGGAGGCGCACTAAACTCACACGGGAAAGAACTGGGCATTCAATTCATGTTTTAGTGAAATAAATCTTTAAAAACAGCTCTTTTGATCTCTAAAGGGGAAAAAAGCAAAAGAAATTCGTCGTTAAATTAATTTTAGCAAAGACGCAACTGCCTGTCATTTTCACATTCGTTTTTCAGTTAGGGATTTGGTCTATTAGAGTAACCTAATAAAATTGTTTTGTTGAACACTGTAGTCTACACAATAATCGATATTATAATTCATTATATACATTAGCTATTATTAAAACTAAACTATACAATTGATAAAACAAAAACCTTTTTAATGTTTGCTTTCATTTTGACACCGCTAACAGTTGTAATAAGAAACATCACATTATGCAGAAGCATGCAGTCTCAAGTTAAAAACACCTTTTGAGTTTAAAGATGATCAGCCTGCCAAGTCAAGTTTACAGTGTCATAAATGAAATGGGTAGCATGAGTAAAGGGGATTTGCCCAGCACACAACCTCATGCGCTGCAGGTAGGCTGAATGATAATCTTTAAAAATATATAGGCTTTAAAACTTTAAAAAATTTAATTATTTTTTAATGAAAAGAAAAGAAATCAGGAGAGTAAAATATAATTTAAACCACTGGTCTGGCGCTAATACTTTATTGTTTGTATCCAGAAGAAGGGGAAAAAAGCAGATGAAAACCTGGCTGGGGAGACGGCGATAACATATCAGTTCTTCAGCAAAGATCACGACATCATTGTGATGCGTTTATCATACAACGCAGTTCGTGTTTATAATCATTAATATTAACTAGTATTAATTCTCTCTCTAGACTTAGTTTTAGGGCTTGTTCTTGTCGGCGCAATATAGCCTCGGCTTATTGCACGTACGAATCCGATTGTGAAGAATGATTAAGCGCTTGCATTTTTTATTGCATCCTTTTCGCAAGTTATTCATTTGTTTTGTTTTTTAAGTGGTGCGAACATTATTTACTGACAAACATGTTCCTCGATCTCGTACATCAACAAATAATGTAGCCTACTTAAGTTAATTTACCTTTTATGTAAAAATTAAGGAATAACCGAATTTAATATTAATAAATAAAACATCCGTATAAACGTACATGTTTATTTTTGAACTTTCGTTAATAAAACAACACAAAACTGTTTATAAATATTGTAGTTAAATATTAAATTACTTTAACTGCTTGAAACTGTATAATAATAACAATTAAACGTTACATTTTCAAGAACTTAACAAATAGTCTAAATGGCACTTTACTAATCAGTGTAATAATAATATAAATATTAATAATTATAAGTAAAAAGAAAATATTAACCTAGTAACAATATAAGTCAGATGTTTAAAAAAACAGCGTAGTTTCTCTCCACCTTTTGTAGTCATATTTTAAATTATTTGCCAGAAAAACTAACATGTTGACTTTGTCCGGTTTAAGTGAAGAATGGGGTTATAATGTTTCCAGCAATACACTGTCAGACGGTGTGCTTGTAGCGATAATGCACAGACAGGCTACTTTTTCACAACCATGCGAGAGAGGGCTTCTCCTTCTGTTCCGCCGCCCGCATTTCTCGCAACGCAGGTTTCTCTACTCTGCGGAGCGGCGCGTTCTTAGTTACCAAATAGCCTATGCTCAATTTCTCGTCAATGTCTTCCATTTATCACTTTCTCTTTTGTATCTGGCCATTTT